GGCGGCCCGGCCGCCCCTCCCGCCCGAGCGGCCCGGGGCTGTCACTCGAGCCCCCTGCGGCGGGGCGGTCGCCATCGCTGCCTTTTCTAACCCTCTGCGGGGCGGAGCAAGAGAAAGCTGATCCCTAGACCTTCGGCCCAAAAGCGGCCACGAGACTCGGGTTCTCAAATTCGCCGCCTGGGACCGCACAGGAAGCGCGAGGGCCCAGCAGTTGGCCAGACTTGTTTCGCAAGAGTTGGTTTTGGATTCCGCGGCCCCCAACACACACCCCTTGCTCTTACCCCACCCCTGCCCTGGCAGATTCCGAGGCAGCTACTTTCGCGCTCAGCCCCGTCTTCCCCACCAGGCCCCCCGACCTATCCTTCAGGCCTGGGGGAGCTGCAGCAGCTGCGTCCTTGGGAAAAGTCCCAAGAGTGCCTGAAAATAGCCCAGGGAGAAACTTCCTGATAAAAAATGCAGTTGGCGCAGGGAAATACTCATGATAGGCTCCGGGAGGTTAGGGATGTGGTGTGCGCCTTCTTTCAGCTTTTCTGCATGCATGTTTGAGGATGTTTATTATGACATATTGGGAAAAAGAAAAATTGACATTAAAGTCACTCGTTCTGTTGCCCAAAAGCTCCTTATTGAAGTACTTCCTCCATGAGAAAATCCTCTTGAAACCAGTGAAAAGTAAAAAGTGTATTTCACAGCATGCTCACAGTCCTTCCTTTTCTAACTCTGCTCAGCGATTTTAACTGTCAGCGGACTCCCACAGGATTGTCCCTGTTTCCCTCCCCCTTTGCCTCTTGTTTTTCTCCTTTGTGGTAGACGGGAAATTCCATCCTAAGCAGACCTGTTTCCCAGGACCTGGCACCTCGTTGCCGCCTGATGTATGTTTGTTGAATAAATGAATGTATATTAACTTCGAGTTAACTGGTTTTGGTGTTGTAGCTCCTGAGCGTTTCTGGCAAACATCCCATGTCCTCACCTCAGTAAACAAGCTATCAATAAAATCAACTGGCAGGTTTCCAACTGAGGATCTGGAATTTTCTGTGGCACTCATGTGACAGAGCAAGGAGAGTTCCATAGAGTAGATACCTGAACCTATCTGTTGAGTCAGTGTCAAGTGCTGGAGCCTCCCTGCGACCCTTGGACTAGGACACCATTCAGTTCCTGTTTTAGACAGTGAACTGCAGCATTCTGGAAGGTTCCATTCCAGGTCAGCACAGCTGGTGGATGGTAAAGCCAGGATTCCAGCACCTCTGTCTGATTCCAGATCCTGGTCAACAAAGTTCAGTCAGATGGAAAGAGGCTCCTTCAAAGAGCAAAGGGACGGCTGGGGATATAGTTCAGTGGCACAGCACCTGCCCAGCAAGCGCAGGGTCCTAAGTTTGACACCTGGCACCAAAAAAAAAAAAAAAAAAAGCAAAGAGGAAATGGAGACCTCAGATAGCGCCCCCCCCCCCCATATGAAGTAAGTGTGCCAACTTTCTTCACAGAAAAGCATTTCAGGACAGATCAAGAAATATAAAAGGAGATTTATTACGCAGAATCAAAGAAATAATAAGAAAGAAGTGTAATCCTTGAGGGGTGAGAGCCATTATGGTATGGGGCTAGGGAATTTTTGTAGTTTTAGGATATCTCAGGACACATGACCTGGCATGCTTTTCTTTTTTAAAAAAACTTATTATCTAGTGTCTGTCTCCTTAAAGTCAGGTGACTCATTAGTGGGCTAAAGCAAAAACTGGCTTATCAAGTAGATTCAATAAAATGCAAACTTTAAACCCGGTGTGGTGGTGCACACCTATAATCCCAGCACTCGGGAGGCTGAAGCAGGAGTATCACTGTGAGTTTGAGACCAGCCTGGGCTACAAAGTGAGCTCAAGGCCAGCCTGAACCGTATAGCGAGATCCTGTCTCAAAAAGATAAATAATTAGATAAATTAATTAATTAATTAAATAAAATGCAAACTTTGTATATGTTTGAGGTTGGGAGATATGGTGGACAATTAATAGGACTGTTCTTCTGAGGGTGGAAATCCTTGGAATGTATGGATTTCTAGTACTGGAAGAAAACTACAGGCCAAGTCACACACTTATTATCTCTTTAAGATTTAGGCATTTAGGAGTGAAGAGTCCAGAAGGCCAATGAGTAGAAAAGGCATTGTAGCCCCGGCTTACCTTTGATGGTGTCCTGAAGCTGCAGTTTTCTTAAAAGTACTATTTTAATTTAATTTAATTTTTTTATGGTACCAGGAATCGAATTCACGACCTTGAGCTTGCCAGGCAGGCACTGTGCTGCTGAACTATATCCCCTGTCCTTATTTTATTGTTTATTTTATTTTATTTTTTTTTTCTGGTACCGGGAATCGAACTCACCGCCTCGCGCTTACCAGGCAAGCACTGTGCTGCTGAGCTATATCCCCGGCCGCTATTTTATTGTTTAAAGTACTATTTTAAAGTTCCAGTTTTCCTTGTCTCCTTTCTACCTCTCTGTTTCTTCTACTTCAGTTCCAGTCTCTTCACAGATACAAAGGCTCAGGGCCAAGCGCCCACGGGTCTGGGGGCTCTGAGGGTCCCCAGGGAGCAGACACAGCCTTGGCTCTGAGCCCTGCCACCCCCTTGGTCCAGTCCAGGTGTGGTGTTAGCAAAGGCCCTGCCCCGCTGCCCACTCACACTGCAGGCTGCTCTGGGCTTGCAGAAAGCCTCTGCCTGGAAGTGACCAGTGAGCTAGGGCTCATCGTGGGTCCCCGGCAAGGGAAGCGCCTCCTACCACCCCGTCTCCCTCACAGGAATGTTGTAAGGACAAAGGGAGTGCATGAATCCAACAGGAGTCAACACACACCTTTGCAGACCTAAGGCACAGTTTTGGAATCTTATCATTTGAGGTGCCTCTTGGGCGCCTAAATCTCAGTCCTGTATGCACCAGCATGGGGTGCTCCCATCTCCCCGTCCCATGGGGCTGCTATTGTCTTTGCTTTGCTTATTTCCCCTCTGGGCTAAGCACTTTACATCCATGAACTTACTCAGTCCTGTCACTTCCCTGAGAAGTAGGTGTTACCTTTCCTATTTGTGGAGGGCTCCAAGAGGCTGTGGTACAAAGCAAATAATGGACTCAGGGTTTGGATTTTGGTCAGAGGCTGCGCTATTTTGTTTGCTTTTGTTTTTTGTGGTGCTGGGGATGCAATCGGGGCTCTCATGATGCTAGGCAAGGGCTCCACCACTGAGCTGCACCCCAGCCCCAATGCCTGCTTATGATCAGTGTGGGAGGAGGGACCAGATGGAGGGGTTCCCGCCTGACTCCAGAGCCAGCGCATCTGCAGCTGGGTCTTTGGAATCTCAAGCAACATGTTTGTGCCTGTTATCTCTACCCCTCTTCTCCTCTGCTCTGTGTTCCTCCCTAGGGGTGACCTTGAAAGGTTTCTTAGCAACCACCTGCTTCACCTTCAACCTAGGAATATCCTCTGGGGGCTTCGGGAAGAGGAGGCTGCAGGAACAGCCTGTAGGAGCTCTGCCTTCTGGATGCCTCAGTCCTAGAGCGATGAACCAGTGAGTGACAAAGGTCCTATCTGTGTCCCCTCGGGTGGGCTTGTCACCGGGCTGCACCTGAGGGTCCCACGCTGAAATAAGGAACTTTCTCTTTTTTTTGTACCGGCAATTGAACTCATGACCTCAGGCTTGCCAGGCAAGCACTTATGCCACTGAGCTACATCCCCGGCTGAAATAAGGAAATTAACCACACTTTATCTTGTAGAGTAAGCTCACAGGTTCACTGGCTCCTGTCACATATAAAGAAGGGTCAGGACTCAAGAGAAGGGTTTGTCAGAGAGAGATACAAGACACACCCGAGAGCCAAGTGTAGGGCCTTTGAGAAATGAGCTGCATTATGAGCTGGAGCTGGGTAGATTCAAAAGGATGTCTTCAAGATGGGTAAGCTAGGGGCTGGAGATTTAGCTCAGCGGCACAGCACCTGTCTGGTAAGCACAAGGCCGTGAGTTTAATTCCTGGTAATGGAAAACAAAACAAAAAAAAGATGGGTGATCTAGGGCGGTTATCTTTATTGTCAGGTTACAATGCAAGCCACCTATATGTATTTGAAGTTGGGGTCTGCTGCTCACCAATATTGCAGCTTCCTCCAGGATGGAAGAGGAGCAATTAACAGGTGAAAAGGTCAAGTCTAGAGCCTGGATTTTTTTTTTTTTTTTTTTTAGACAGAGTCTCCTTAGCAGTTCAGGCTGGCCTTGAACTCACTCTGTAATCCAGGCTGGCCTTGAATTTCAGTGATCCTCCTGCCTCAGCTTCCCAGTTGCTAGGATAACAGGCGTATAACATCTTACCCAGCTTAAAGCCCAGATTTACAGGCTACATTACTGTCTTTAAGACTTTAAGAATTTTTTTTTCCTTGAGTCAGTTTCTTGGACAGGAAAACGGCTTGAGTAACTTCTGTGTCTTTAAACTGCAATTAAATACCATTTTAAAATCTCAATTTTCTTCTTTCCCCATAACCTAGTTTTTATTTCTTCTGTCCTATCTCAGGCTGGAATCTCAAAAAACAAGGACAAAATCCACCTGGCTTATTCTTTGGAGAAGAAACTTGCTAAACCTTCCAGTAGCACCACTTCCCTCTCCTTCCCCTCTGCTTTCCGCCCGGAGCCAGTGGATTGGGGTGTG